GGAAGAAAATGCTTTGAAAATGATGATGGCGGTGTATGTGCAAATGTACTTGACACACTGGACGAATGTATGGATTATGGTAAGAGATGCAAGAGCCCCCAATAAAAGTATTTTTTTAAAAGTTCTAGTTCAGTAGATTTGCCCAACGGAATACATTCCTTGATTTTTTAACTACTACTTCCATGAACAATTAATGTGGATCCAAATATAAAAATATACCAAACACTAAAATAACAGTAAAAATGATAAGAAAATATGTACTCATCACAGAAAAATATATGGAACAAAGAAATCATCTAACACTGCACACATACACACACACACATATCACTATGACAGGACTAAATGTATACCAATTGTTATTTGTACTAAATATAAATGAAATAAATACACAAATTGAGAGACAGAATAGTAGAATGAACAAAATGTGACCTATCAATATGCAGTCTAGAAGAGAAAAACCTTAGGTATAAAGACAAGAATAAGCTAAGAATGAAAATTTGAAAAAACATATCAAGTAAATGTCAAGTAACAAGGAATAGATTTGGAAATACTAATTACTGATAAAATAAACGTTTCGACAAAACCAGCATTAAAGACAAGGACAAAAGGACATAACCATAATAGATAAGCTATGCACCCAATGAAAGAGTCCCCAAATGGGGGAATCAAGCTTTAACAGAATTGAAAAGAGCAACAGACAACTCTACAATAATAGTGGGGGATTTAAATACACCAGTATCAATGACAGAACAACTAGAAAGACACGAAACAGAGATTTAGACTAACCAACATAATCATTCAACTTGACCTTAGGGACATATACAGAATGTTGCATGCAACCACATCGCAATATACATTCTTTTCCAGTGCACATAGAATGCATTTCAGGACAGATTATATGCAACCCTCAATCAATCTAAAAACATGGAAATACTAGAAAACATCTCATATCATAATATTTTAAAATTAAAAATCAGCAAAAGAAGGTGAAAAGCAAAACAATTGCATACATGTAAACTGATTAATGCCCTGCTTAGAAACTACTGGGCAGTAGAAGTTTAAAAAATGAAATTTTAAAAACTACTGGTAAATCAAATAGAGTGAAAACACTGCATACAAAACCTTTAGATTCTAAAGTTTAGAGCATAGCAAGATCAGTGCTCAGAGGGTAATTTATAACAACCAAAATGAGAAGAAAGTACCAACATCACACCTTAACCCCACATCTGCAATAATTAGGAAAGGAACAACAACAAACAATGTTACAGTCTTCCGAAGACAAAAAATAATAAAGATTAGAGCAGAAAGAAACAGAAAAACAAAATGAATTAAGAGACTAGAAGTTGGTTCTTTAAGGGAGCTAGTAAAATTCACACACCATTGACAAATTTAACAAAGGAAACATCTCAAAGGACATGAATTCGGAATAAAATAAATGACATCCTAACAGATCCAACTGAAATATAATAGGTAATAACAATACCATGAAGAACTACACTCCAACAAAACTGAAAATCTAGGAAAAAATGGATAAACTAAAATTTTAGAAACGTACTACAGATACAAACTAACATAATCTGAGCTAGAAAGTTTGAACAGACCTGTAACAAGAGAAAAAAACAAACAGGTAGTTTAAAAAGTCCAAACAACAATGAAAAAAATTGACTTGAATGGCATCACTGGAGAATTCTCCCAAACATGCAAAAAAAAAAAAAAA